TAAAATTCAGTTCTCAGGTATGCGTAGTTCTCACGCACAGGCATGTAAAATTTTTGGCGGTAAAACGGTTTATTGAACAGCCTGGTCATTTCCAATTAACGGGAATTTTTCATTTTTCTTTATGCAAAATTCAATGAGTACATAAACTAAAATACTAGCAATAACCATTCATACAATTTAGGAACTGACGGCTTCAAGTTTAATGTAAAGATGCGTGAACGCTGGTACGTTCCAGCCTGGGGTTTTCTACTTTTTCTCACTCAGCTTACTGTATGGAGGTTTTTTTTTAGGCGGCAGATGATTATGTCGTGTGCAAAATGGAACTGAGCTTTTACGCGTTTCTAGTTGTTATTTTGTTGTTTAAGATGTCAGTGTCTAGAGACTGCGCGTGTATATTATTTATTTCTCTGTGGGGTTCAGATGTAGTGTTGTTGCTCGTCTACAGTATCTTTCCAACGCACTTGCATATCCACACATCATTGACAGAATTCTTTTACCGGTTTGATACCGTATGTTATTAATTGTGCTGTTTGACGTGTATTACATGCAAATTCGTTGCAGTGTACTACTCAGCTGTGATAATACTGCTCGGCAGTTTCCGCGTGCCGGGGTGTGTTTTTCCACACACGTGTTCTACTTTAGTTTGGCAGTAATACATGAGTCTATGAGCATTTTATCAATGATGCATCTGAGTTATTGCAGAGGGTACCGTTAAGTAAACGTTCAGCTTTGTTTAAAACTGTTTTATCCCCACTTGTGTGTTTAGGCCTCAGTGTTTTCATTCAGGACTTCTTGGTCAAACTGTCGTAGGCGTCTTCACTTTATCGCCTTATACAGAAGTTAATTTTCCATGAAGCAAAAAATAAATTTTTGATTTTAAGTGGGAAAATTCGTACGGGGGATCAGTGCTAGACATATGCCACTATGTATTGTATTGGACGTAGAGCGTGACTCACCGCGTCTCCATAGTTGAATTTTGCTGAGTGGTCTAATTTTTCTGTTGCCTTTGTCCTCAAAGCAATATTCTTGTTTTAAAATACATGCACGTGTACTTTTGCTGTAATCATGAATGCATACATATCGACGGTGTATGAAAATGTTTTCCGGATCGCATATGTAAAAAGTTATGGGACTTGTGGGAAAGCGCTTTTTGATTTGTTATAATCCCTCAAAGCGCTTTGGTAGTAAACAGGTCAAAGACCGTGCAAGAT